AGAAAAACAAGAAAAGAATGAATAATTATAGTTAGGTTAATGTACTAATCTATATATGAATAAATTTACAGTAATTTAAATGATACTTACTAATTATAGAAATCAAACACTTTGTATAGGAGTAATTTACTATTATTTTGAAGTCTGAGATATACATTATCAAAATTTGTAAGTATCTGAAAACTTGTATATGCTAATATAAGTAGGGAGTACTGGTGTAGTACTGTAGGATAAGGACTAGACTATTAATTGTAAGGTCATTTGCTCAAACACACCAGCTGCTCCTTGGAAACTCCATACAGAGTTGCTATGAGTTGGATCCAACTCGATGGAACTTAACAACAACAATATAAGTAAAATAAGGAGAGATTAAATAATCTCTTTTTATAAGCTAAAGGAAAATATTTCAAAATTTTGAATATACTTGGATAGCTTACTTTTGATGGTACAACTCCACCTTTAAACAAAGACTTTTTCATTAAGTACTAATAAAAAGTAACACCATAACTGAGCAAGCATAAAGGCAGGAAAGAGAGAAATCAGCTAGGATGTCATAATACTATTACTCAACAATGAGGTAAAAATAAAATTCTAACAAGTTAAAGAATACATAAGGAAGTTAAAAGCAGTATTGAGAAAGAAAATTATATTTGTTATTAGGAAAAAATATAGGGTGATTTAGATAGATTAACATTAGTATAAAGTGGCACTAGGACAAGGAGCTCTGGTAGCGTAGTGGTTACGAATCGGGCTGCGAACCTTAAGGTTAGCGGTTCGAAACTACCAGCCGCTCCGCGGGAGAAAGATGAGGCTACTCCCGTAAAGATTTACACCCTCGGAAACCCTGTACAGGGTCGCTATGGGTCGGAACCGACTCGATGGCACTTAACAACAACAACAAGGACAAATCAAAGTGGTCAGTCAAAAACAAACGGTTCTTCATTTCCTAATATCATTAATGATCTGGGTTAGGCATTTGCTTAACAAATATCACAATACTCTAATATAGCTGTAAAGATGAAATACAAAGAACAGAGAAGTTCACACTCTAGATGGTTCTTAGTGGTTATGTGCCGTTGAGTTCTGACTCATAGACACCCTGTACAGGGTTTCTGAGACTCTAAATCTTTAGGGAACAGAAAGCAGAACAGCTGGTTGTTTCCAACTGCTGACCTTGAGGTTCGCAGCCCAATTCATAACCATTAGGCTACCAGAGCTCCTTAGATTGTTCTTAGGACTCTACAAATATTTTCAGATTAGAAGATATTTCAAAAATATTTTTTGTTTTGGACCTCAAAAAGTATTGTAACCCATCACAAGTTATTAAATGTGAAAGAAAATGAGAAGAGTTTTATCTATTTTAACTTTATACAATATATTGTTATTGTTGATGTGAAAAGCCCTTAACAGAGGTTAAGGCACTTGGTTGTTATTCAAAAAGTTGGAAGTCTGAATCTACCAACTGCTCTACAGGAGAAAGAGGTGGCATATGTACAGCCTTGAAAAACCTAAGGGAAATTTCTACTTTGTCTTATGGGATTGTTATGAGTACAAATCAGCTGGGTGGAAGTGGATTTGATTTTTGGTATTGTTGATTTGAATTGTTGTTGTTGTTGTTAGGTGCCACTGAGTTGGTACCAACTCACAGTCCCGATGAACAACAGAACAAAACACTGCCTGGTCCTGGTACCAGGTCTCTGTCAATGTATGCTTGCAGCCGTTTCTGTGTTAACCTTTAGTAAAACTTTATTCACATGGGATATCAGACCTCACAATTTTTGCCATGCTTCAGCCCACTGATGCTGCCACTTCGCAAACCATCTCACTGGGGAATCTTCTTTTTCTCTGGACCACCCTACCAAACATGATATTCTTCTCCAATGACTAGTCCCTCCTGGCAGTATGTCCGAAGTATGAGAGACTAAGGTTTGATTATGCTGGCAAGGAGCACTCTGGCTGCACTTCTTTCAACACAGATCTGTTGGTTCTATTGGCAGCCCATGGCACTTTCAATATGCTCCACCAACACCATAATTCAAAAGCATCAAATCTTCTATGGTCTTCCTTATTCACTGTCCAGCTTTCACATGCGTATAAGGTTTTTGCAAATACCATGACTTGGGTCAGGCACACCTTAGTCCTCAAGCTGACATCTTTGCTCTTCAACACTTTAAAGAGGTCTTGTGTAGCAGATTTCCCTAAATGTGATATGTTGTTTGATTTCTTGACTGTTGCTTCCTTGAGTATTGATAGTTGATCCAAGAAGAATGTAGTCCTTGACAACTTCCAACTTTTCTATGTTGATAAGAATGTTGTTTATTGGTCCAGTGGTGAAGATTTTTGTTTCCTTTACATTTAGATGCAATCCAAACCAAAGGCTGTGGTCTTTGATCTTCATCAGTAAGTATTTTAAGTTCTCTTCATTTCAGCAAGCAAGATTGTATCATATGCATATTGTAGGTTGTTAATATGTCTTCCTCCAATCCTGATGCCATGTTTTTCTTCATATAACCCAGTTTCTCAGATTTTCGGCTCAGCATACAGGCTGAATAAGCATGGGGAAAGAACACAACTCTGGCGCACACCTATCTTCATTTTTAAGCCATTCAGTGTTTCCATATTCTGTTCAAACAACTGCCTCTTGGTCCATGTACAGATTCCTCATGAGCACAATTAAGTGTTCCAAAATACTCATACTTCTCAATGTTGTCTATAGCTTGTCATGATCCACACAATTGAAAGCCTTTGTGTAGTCAATAAAGCACAGGCAAACACTTTTCTGATATTCTCTGCTTTCAGCCATGATCCATTGGACATCAGCAATGATAGCCCTCATTCCACATCCTCTTCTGAATCTGGCTTGAATCTCAGGAAGTTCTCTGTCAATGTATGCTTGCAGCCATTTCTATAAACTTTACTCACATGGTATATCAAAGATATTGTCTGATGATTTCTGCATTCCATTGGGCAACCTCTCTTTGGAATGGGCACAAATACGGATCTCTTCCAATCAGTCGGCCAGATAGTTGTCTTCCAAATTTCTTGGTATAGATGAATGAGTGCTTCGAGTGCTACCTCATTTTCTTGAAAGATTTCAACTTGTATTCCATCAATTCCTGGTGTCTTGCTCTTTGCCAATTCCTTCAACGTACCTTGGACTTCTTCCTTCAGTATTATTGGCTCTTGATTATATGTTACCTCTTGAAATGGTTGAACATCACCATTTCCTTTTGGTACAGTGACTCTGTGTATTCCTTCCAACTTCATTTGATGTTTTCTGCATTACTGAATAATTTCCCAGAGAAGCCTTCAATAACGAAGTTGAGGCTTGAATTTTTTCTTCAATTCCCCCAGCTAGAGAAATGCAGACCATGTTCTTCACTTTTTGGTTTTCTGGCTCCAGATCTTTGCACGTTTTCTTGTAATATTTGACTTCATTTTCTCGAGCTGAAGACCTTTGAAATTTTCTGTTCAGCTCTTGTACCTCCTTGTTGCTTCCATTTGCTTTAGCATCTCCATACTGGAAAGCAAATTTCAGTATCTCTTCTGACATACATTTTCATCTTTTTCTTCTTCCATATCTTCTTAATAACTTTGTCTTTTTTCCTGTATGATATTTTTTATGTCATCCCACAACTCTTCTGGTCTTTGGTGTTTAGTGTTTAAGGTATCTAATTTGTTCTTCTGATGATGTCTAAATTCATGTGGGATATATTTGAGGCCATATTTTGGCTCTCATGGACTTGTTCTCATTTTCTTCAGCTTCAGTCTAATTTACATATGAGCAATTCATGGTCTGTTCCACAATCTGCTCCTGGCCTTGTTATGGCTAATGATAAGGAGCATTTCCACCATCTCTCTCCACAGATGTAGTCCATTTGATTTCTGTGCATTCTATCTGGTGAGGTCCATGTGCATAATGGTCTCTTATGCTATCTAAAGAAGATATTTGAAACGAACAAATAAGTGGTTTTGCAGAATTCTATCATGTGATCTCCAGCATCAATTCTATCACCAAGGCCATATTTTCCAACTGCTGATCCTTCCTCTTTTTTTGCAACCTTTGCATTCCAATCACCAGTAATGATCAATATATCTTGATTACATGTTTGATGAATTTCAGATTGAAGAAGTTGGAAGAATTCTTCTATTTCATCCTCACTGGCTTTAGTGGTTGGTGCGTAAATTTGAATAATAGTTGTATTAACTGGTCGTCCTTACAGGCGAATGGACAGTATCCTATCACAGACAGCATTGTACCTCATGACTGATCTTGATACATTCTTTTTTGATGATGAATGCAACACCATTGCTCTTCAATTTGTCATTCCTGGCATAGTAAAACCATGTGGTTGTCAAATTCGAAATGGCCAACACCAGTCCATTTCAGTTCATTAATGCCTAGGATATCGATGTTTATGTGTTCCATTTCATTTTTGATAATTTTCAATTTTCTTAAATGTATACTTCGTACATTCTATGTTCCGATTATTAATGGATGTTTACAGCTGTTTCTCTGAATTTTGAGTTGTGCCCCATCAGCAAATGAAGGTGTCAAGATCTTTATTCCCATGGGCTTTATTTCATTCTCATCATCACGGTCAACTCTACTTCGAGGAGGCAGCTCTTCCCCAGTTGCATTTTGAGTGCCTTCCAAGCTGAGGGGCTCATTTCCCAGCACTTTACCTGATAGTGCTTCTCTGCTATTCATTAGGTTTTCAGTGACTAAATATTTGGAAGTAGTTTGTGTCTCCTCCTTCCTAGTCTGCCTTTGTCTGGAAGCTCATGTTAAACCTGTCTACTATGGGTGACCCTGCTGGTATTTAAAATACCCGTGGCATAGCTTCCATAATCACAGCAACTCACAAACCACCAAAGTACGACAAACTGACAGATTAGTGGTGGTGACTTGAATTAGCATAAATAAATATGATACTTTATTTATAGTGATATGGTCTAGTTTAGCTAAATAAGTACATTAAATAGATGTTTTAACTTACCATTTCCATGTTCTCATTAGTAACATGAAGTTGCTGGGTTAGTTGTTGAAAATTAGTCAACTGATCCTAAAGCAGGAAGACAAGGAGAAAGAATAAATAACAATTAGTTTGCAACTCATACTTAAAGTTACACTAAAATCAAGTCTAAAATTATTATGTACAAGTGTGGACGAAATCAGTTGTTTCTAATAGTAACCAGGGAGATTTAGTTTGTGCAAAAATGGAACCAAAAGATTATAGAATTTTTTACAAAAAATTTTTAAAGCCCCCTTGTTCCTTGTCCTCTTTCGAATTAGGCTTGAGTTTCTGGAAATACCCTGTTGATGTAATGTTATAGTCGTTTTGGAATTACCTTTAGCAAAACCTGACTTACATGTGATATTAATGATACTGTTCAATGATTTCTGCATATTGTTGGGTCACCTATCTTTAAAATGGGAACAAGTATGGATCTCTTCCAATCAGCTGGCTAGATATCTGCCTTCCAAAATTCTTGGCAGAAATGAGTACCTCAAGGGCTGCATCAGTTTGTTGAAAGATTTCAATTTATATTCCATCAATGTCAGACTTCTGTTCTTTGCCACAGTCTTCAATGTATCTTGGACTGGCTCTAGATTGCATTCTACCCCTTGAAATTATTGACCATTGACCATTTTGTTTTGGTACAGCATGTATTCCTTCCATCTTCTTTTGATGCTTTCTGCATATTTTAGCCATAGAATTCTTTGAAACTGGAAATCAAAGCTTGAATTTTTACTTCAGTTCTTTCAATATGAGAAA